TACCTAATATGAAATAAAAAGATCTTTGTTATTTTATGTTTATTATAGAACCTTACATTTTTTCTTTCAATTATTTTACTTAAGTTTATAAGGCAATTATCAATATCATGTTTGCATTCTTTCTTTGATGGCTGATAAATGATTTTATGTATGACTATCATATTGTGAGACCTTTTGCTTTCTTATCTGTTAGCTAAGTGTGTAAAAACATTTACTTCAATGTGACCAAATAACAGACACAAGTTCCTCCTATGATATAATATGAGGTTTGGAAAAACTGGCCTATTGCTCATTTTTGTAAGAGCAGGGCAAAATACTTTACATTATTCATATGCTTATGCATTTCTATTCATGTATTACACATTTATTATATTGTTTTTTTTCCTATGCAATTAAGAATGTACAGTAATACAGGGGTCACATTTCTTAAATCTTCATCATAAGATGAATTATTATGGCTTCACATACAATACCTCTGATGCAGCATTATGTTCTAGGTAACTGAATGTTCAAAAAACATTATGCATGGGTATAACAATATGTACTGTAATTACATTAACACTCATTGATTACTGAACAAAACAGACTGAATTAAATAGCTACTGGGCACAAACATAATTTGGTTATAATTTGTTGCTTGTGTAGAGGTTTTACCCATCTCATTATACTTGTATATAAATATCTATGTGATGATATCACCTTTCTAGATGATGATGATACTGTACATGAAATACAGTAACACTTTACTTATTCTTGAAGCATCGAAAGCTACTTTTAATTTTTTATACTTTAGCTTCCATAATGGACTTGTTTGAGTCTACTTAAATTTTGTAATTAAACAAAAATATATGGTACACCACTGTACTGAAAATCCAAAAGTCAATCATTACCAAGCCTTCTCAGATAACTCCCATCCCACCTCACTGCCTCTGCCAGTCACTTGACACATTCAAGGCATGCGATATAAACTTGGGCTTCTTCGCCAAAAATGCACTTCAGAGGAATATACGAGTAGGAAAACAAGGTCAAAATATTACAAGTTATAATACAGCTAACAGATTGGCACAATTAATTAATGTAGCAAACCAGTCCTTTTTGATGTCATTAAATTAAATATTAAGTAACAAAAAAAATTGACTGAAGTACAGATTTTAGTCTTAAACTAGATTTATCTTTATTAAACAAAAGTTTTAGGGCTTGCATTCATATTTTAAGGCCATGCATACTTCAGTTGACCTGGCAGAAATGTTATTCAACAGCATCAAAAAATTGTATGTTCAAGAATGGTTTGTGAACCCTTCAGAAAAAAAAAAAAAAAAAATCTTAATTGCTGAATATTTGCAAAATTTAATGATTGGCATTTCCTAACATTACATCGGTTATCTACCATATAACTGTTGCATAGATATTAGATAAAACCATAGCATAGGAGGCATTTAGGTATATGAATAAATATGAAAATTTCCATTGAGAATCCAAGCCCTTCAATCTAGTGAAGATGAGCGCAAAAGAGAAAAAATAATTTAATTTAGAGAGAGAATACTTATATATAAACTAATTTCATTCAGAGAATATTTCTGTACGTGAGATTCACATCCAAGCTGAACATCATTCTGAAAGGAACATGCACATATAGCTTTTAAGATATAAAGCTAGGAAATGGTTAATACATGAAACTGTGCCCACAGAATTTGTCTACAGAAACCACCTATGGAAGACTACCACTATCATTTAGTGAGACATCAATGGATAGCTACATCTACTGTACAAGGCCCAATATTTAAGTGCATTACAGTATATAAATAATTAATTGGCCCAGGTCTTCTCGAGCATAGGCTTTAATCACAATAGCCATACCTCTACTACTGATATACATTTTGTTTGTATAGGAATTAGTTATAAAATATTAAAAGCCCACAAACATTCTCTAATTTCAAGAGAAATACTATAGAAGACTACATATGCCTATGTATTACTATTCTATAAATCATAGGAACTAGAATTATATCTTTGCCTAATGTTTAGGCTAGGTCTATTTAGCTCACATTTCTTACAATAAATGAACCACTTTTCAGCATTTTATACAACAAACTTCCTGCAAATGCATTAAATGCCAAGAGGCTTCATGTAAGAACATCCTTGGGTCAGTATAGAAGGGATACTCTTCATATCTTAGTCATCTTTGCTGTCTAGGGAGGTTAAATTCAGTAATTTTATCCTGGTGATTTATGAATGTAACCTATTATAATTTTTCAACTTTTCTCATTTATTAACAGTAATAATCCAGTGAATAAGGCACACAAATGACTGTTACTGACAGCACCATCATACTTCACAGGATTCTCACCATATCAGAAAGCCACACACTGAAGTTTCGCATATTTTAAAAGATTATTTTCAATGATTCATCACAATGAGGGTTCATTTGTGCCATCAACCAATGTCTATCATACTCTTGTTTGGATATATTTATATGCACACACACACATGGATCATGAAATTTAAAGTTGATGTTAGTGCCATGGAAATAAGAAAAAGCCAAAGAAAAACTACATAAGATTATATACCATACATTTTTCTTGGAATTGCACTAGCCATTTCCCACCAAGATAAGGTTACTGCAAGGACACATTCACCATCACTCATTCTCTAGCTGTCTTTCCAGAAATGTACAGACATTACATTTCAGATGATGCTAGCCCCTTGCTCCCGGCATTTTAGTTGCCTCCTACAACATGCATGACTTACGGAGGAAGAATTCTGTTCTACTTCCCCATGGAGGTAAGAGAAAATAAACAAGAACAAGAAAATAGAAGAAAACCCAGAGGGGTGTGTATATATATGCTTGTACATGTATGTATAGTGTGACCTAAGTGTAAGTAGAAGTAGCAAGACGTACCTGAAACCTTGCATGTTTATGAGACAGAAAAATGGACACCAGCAATCCTACCATCATGTAAAACAATTACAGGTTTTCGTTTTACACTCACTTGGCAGGACGGTAGTACCTCCCTGGGTGATTGCTGTCTACCAACCTACTACCTAGAAATTTTTTTTATGTTAATGCATAGGGTTTATTACCTGGACCTCAGCAACGAGAGTCGCTACTCTCACCGCTGGGCAACGGCGACCAGTAATTATAGACAAAATATTGCTAGTGCAAGATTACATAAATATACAGGAGGGTCCCACTTATATAGCAAGTTAGGTTCCAAGCTACTGCTGTAAAGCAAAAATCACTGTAAAGTGAAACAGCCTTTTTTCACTTTCAAATGCATATAAAAGCCTGATAACATGTTTACTCTATCATATATAAAGTGAGCAATAGAGCTAGGCCTAAAAAATGCATATAAAGTACACATATTACTTACCTGAAAATATTTTTGGCCTTAGCTTATAGTGAGTGGTGAATATATTTATTGTAGGAAGTCTGAATAAATGAAGAATGGGTATAATTGAAAACAGCTCTATTAGCAAAATACTGTAAAGCAAAGTGCTGTAAATCGGAACCCTCCTGCAATAGTGAGAAACTCAAATGCTATGCTGCTGGCAAACTTCAAGATAATCTCTGCATGTTTGGATGGAGAAATTCTAAAGTATATTCATAATGTATATTAGGCCAAAATTGGAATATACTGCAGCAGAGTGGTACCTGCACCTAAAAAATCTAAAGATAAAAATGTCCAAAAGTATACAGTGGTACCTCGGGATATGAACAGTTTAAAACTCGAACAATTATGTAAGTGTATTTATGTAAGTGCTTTTGTAAGTGTATTTTTGGAGGTCTGAAACGAATTAATCTAATTTACGTTATTCCTTATGGGAACAAATTTGTTCGGTATCGGCACTCGAACAGCCTTCTGGAACAAAATAAGTTCATATCCCGAGATACCACTGTACTACAAAACTGAGTCAAGGTGCTAAAAATTATGAGTTCTGAAGACTGAAAACACTAAAGATGTACATATTTATCACGAGTTGATAAAACAGGTATGTGATCATCACATGCAAGGTCATAAAAGGATCTGAAAGAATAAATTAAAAAATACCCAATCCCTTTCCCAATTTGGGGTAAGCCACAGTTTTTAAAGTAGAAAAAATGAAGCCTGAAAAATTCTAAAAATTTTTTTTTCAATCACAGAAAAAAAAGAATAAATTTAAAAATTTATGGGGTAGTAAGTCTACAAAAAGGGGGAAAATTTTAAAATTATATGTTGCTTTAAATTTAAGGGAAGGGATAGGAGACTAAGTATAGTTTTTTAGGACGGCTCTTTGGCTAAAATTTGGGTAATCATGCTCAAAACTTTTAAAAAGCTTGTATTTTTTAAATTTTTTTTTTTGTGTGTGTGCCATTCCCAAGTACCAAAACATTCACTCAAAAAAACTTCTTTAATTTAAATTTTGTATGTCTACTTCATGTGATCACCTTGCCTCTCCTGCTTTTCCTTTTAAAAATTTAAAGGGAAATTACACCCTTTTCCCAAAATTTTTTTTACAAGAAATGACAGCTTTTAAAAAATTCCCCAGAAAGCATTGCACTTATGCAAAAGCAATTGTATACAATTTCTTTTATAAGATTAGTTTTTTCTATAACTGCTTTTTTTCCAAGTATTACTCAACATACTGGGACCTTTCAAACACAAGAACAACCATAACAAATAATTAAATTTAATTTGTCTCTAGTAGTTTTTAATACGAAAATTTTTTTGATGTAATTTTTGGTTTGAAACACAAAATTTGTTTAAAATAAAATTTAAGGATTCAAAGGGGTAAAATTTACCCAAAGAATCTGGTGTTAGAAGGGTTTTTAAAGAATATTTTTCCGTACCATTTTCAATATACTACTAATGTTCAAAGGCATACGTTACAATAAAAAAAAGGAGAGAACAGTAAAACTACATGAAAGTTAGCACTGCTAAAGGAATTTTTTTTCAATTAAGAATTACAATATGCTAAATATTGCAGCAGGACTTCAGCAAAGAAAAAAAAAAACTAACCTGTACCAGACAATCCTTTTATTATTACCACAGCACTCACTTATATACTAACACTACATATACAAAGATCAGCCATTTTTGTATTTCAATATCAGTGCTTTACATACTGTATTAAACACATTAAACATACATGTTCTACAACCATTGAGGCACTCGGTAACATCGTCTCAAAGGGATGCAAAGAGCATATCTGATGCTGTCATTCTTTCTCTTTTTGAAAATATGTCACACTAAAAAAAGAATTTTAAGCTTCATTCGAGTGATTAAGACAAGACATTTATACATTCCTTGAATGATGCAGATTCTGTCCAATATGACTGCCACTAGTCAATAATGTCTTACATTCTGTCCGTATGACTGCCACTAGTCAATAATGTCTTGCATTCTGTCCAGTATGACTGCCACTAGTCAATAATGTCTTACATTCTGTCCAGTATGACTGCCACTAGTCAATAATGTCTTGCATTCTGTCCAGTATGACTGCCACTAGTCAATAATGTCTTGCATTCTGTCCAGTATGACTGCCACTAGTCAATAATGTCTTGCATTCTGTCCAGTATGGGCTGCCACTAGTCAATAATGTCTTACATTCTGTCCAGTATGACTGCCACTAGTCAATAATGTCTTGCATTCTGTCCAGTATGACTGCCACTAGTCAATAATGTCTTACATTTTTTAATATAATTTTAACTGTGCCAAAATGGATTATGATGAGACTTCAATAACATTTATGGCAAGATCTTATTTCTATTACATGTTGCTCCTTTATTCAATATGGCCACCAAGAGATGAAAAATCGAGCTTGGTTCACTGACTTATTGCACCTCCAGTTACTTTTTTCTATATTTAAACCTCATTTTTGAGCACAAAACCTTAAGCCGACAATAGTAGAAGCCTTATCTCTGAACATATCAAAACACTTCAATTCCCTCAAAAACTATCAATCCTAATGTTAAAATATAATATCCTACATATTAATGCTAGCTACCAAACAGAGAGAATGATCTTATAACATATTGGTCTGGTACCAATGACACTTTCAAATTCCCTAATATAGGGGGTCAACTGGTTATGCTATAAATGATGAGAGGATGTGAAAGAGCAAGGAATTTAGTTTTAGCCACAATTAAGTACACAGTACATGTAAAGAATTCTGCAGTTCCCAGTGCTTTCAAGTGTATATACAACCTTACAACTACTTAAAGAAATCTTCAATTTTTGTTTTAAAAATAAATTTTCAGAATATTTGCAACCTGCACAGCCATGAAAATGTCAAAGCAACAAACTATATTCTGAAATTTATTTTATTTTATTAATATTGCCAAAGGAATCAGGAGTAATTATGAAGGATAACAGATTACATTATCAGAATATACACTGCTAAGCAGGTAAAGGCACCAAGTTAAAAGTACAAAGGAGTGCTGCAGTTTTGATTTGCAAATATAGCTAAATATGGCACCTTCCAGGAAGAGAGAATTTTTTTTTTTTTTTTAGTAAGAGTGCAAGAGTATACAAACATTAAATTTTTTGTGTGAAGTACATACAGGCAGTATTTTTGTTCTTAAAAATCCTGCATGAAACTCCTTACTACTGAAGAAAAAACTGCCTACTATCAAGGGGATAAAATTATATACATAAATTTTGTCTATAAACTTTATTGCATTATCTAAGAAAAGTCTCTTCAACTAGCTATACTTCATCACCAATTATTGTGTACACAATCCCATACTCTCATTAGTTCCTTAAGAATATTTTTAGAAACAGTGCTTACTCACACTATTTTTCCCAAAGGTCAACTTTTCTGCAAATGTGCATGGGATTTCTATACGGCAGTTCCAAACAAGGCATATGTAGTTATACATGTATATATAACTGCTATTATTATTGTAAGCCAACAAAATTTACTATTTGTGACTATGAACCATGTCAAAGGAAGAAAAAACAAAATAGTAAAAGTATAGGCCCCCAAAATGCTTCGAAAAGGAACTAAAACTTGTATACTATTTCTAATTCAGAGAATAAAAAATGAAAGCAATTACTATTTGCGATTACTAAATCACAAACTTAGAACTGAAGTATTTTTTCCACTACTGAAAAATACAATCCCATAAGCTTTTGAGAAAAAAAGACCTAGATGAAATGTCTGCAGCCATTACTGGAGGCAGTGAATCAGCAGGAATTTCATCCATCCCATTATACCTGAGCCTTGAATTATAAGCCATACCTACTAGCTCCTAAAGATTCCTTCCAGCACAACTACAAAGTACATGGAGAAAAGTCTACAGCATCTAGTAGGATGGCTCATTCTGAGACATGGGCAAGGCCATAAACAAAAGATCCAACATAAAAATTACTATGAAAATTGAGTTCGGGTAATCATAAAAATAAAAGATTAACCCATATACAAAGACCTTTCCTCAAATCCAAATAATGAATCAAGATGGCAGACAGCATTACAAAATCCATCCTATATCATAACTACTTCACGAAATATGGCAGGTTCCATCTCGGACCGAGTTTCCATCTGCCTTCTCAATCTCTAGAATGACTCTTGTGAAGATGTCGTTTACAGCCTGAAAGTTAAAATTGAAATATGAAGAAAACTTTCTTTATACAAAGAACATAGAAAATTTGTACTGTTAGTTTCATATTTAGTTCAAGTTATTTATTCTATATAGTAATGACTTAGAGGGAGAGAGAGCAAGGAAGAGGAGAAAATATTATCTAATGCTCTTCCACTGAATTCCTTACCAGTTGGTATGCAAAGAGTGAAAAGTGGGGGTGGGGAGCCAATGACACCTGACATCAACATATTAATCAGAACTGCAATCTAACTGTTTCTAACTTTCTTTTTTTTTTTTTTTTTTAACACTGGCTGTCTCCCACGAAAGACAGGGGGACCCCAAAAAGATAGGCACTTCACCATTCATCATTCACTAACTAAAACTCACTGGCTCTCAAAGAGGGCACCAAAATACGGAACAGTTCAAATGTCACTTGACAGCAATATCCCAAAACCCTGTCCTTTAAAGTGCAGGCATTGTATTTCCCACCTCCACCGATCCCCCCGTCCAGCTAACCAGTTTCCTGACTCACTTCACAAAAGATTTACCCTGCTCAAACTCAAAAGCTCATCAAGTCCCAAAAATAAAAACTATCTTCATTCACCCCTAACATGCTCACACATGCCTGCTGTATGTCCAAGCCCCGTGCACACAAAACCTCTTTCACCCTCTTCCTCCATCCTCTTCTAAGATGACCCTATCCCTCCACTACAGATTTATACACCCTATTTATACATCCTATTTTGCTCTATCCTCTAAATGACCAAACCATCTCAACAACCCCTCCTCAGTGCTCTGAATAACTTTTTAGTAATGCCACACCTCCTAATTTCCACACTAATATTTACATCACAATTTACCTTCCAGCTATTGACTCTCCCCCCCATGCCTCCAGGCTCTCTTGTTGCAGCCATTTACAACCCATTGCTTCACACCCATGTAAGTGTTAGTATTGTACTCACTATACACGGCCCTTCTCCTCACGTAACAATGGATTTCCATTCCTCAGACCCACGTCAGTTAAATGAATTCGTCACTAAGTGAGTGGGAATCATATATAGTAGTGGGTTTTGTGTTGACCATCTTTGATATTGTTTGAATATCACCTTTGCACCATTTATAACATTTCTGGTATATTTTTAAATGTTTATACAGTAGTGTACTGTATATTGTAATAAACAGAATTAGAGGAAATCAGCTCTAATATACGTTATTTAAGTATGTATACTGGTCAGAGAGCCCGTTGTATAACCAAGTTGCCGGTAAACGAGTACGTTGCTAAGTAAGGAGAGGCTGTACTTTCATACATTCCCATCTCTGCCTCCATGGATAATGTTCTTCGTCTTCACAGATACCTCAATGCACCACCCGCTCTTTTTCCTTCATCAATTCTATGGTTTACCCCGTCCTTTAATATGCAGGAAAGAGGGAAATTATTTCCCAGTAAAAGTAGGCCTTAGACAAGGATGTGTGATGTCACCGTGGTTGTTTAATATATTTATAGATGGGGTTGTAAGAGAAGTAAATGCGAGGGTCTTGACAAGAGGCGTGGAGTTAAAAGATAAAGAATCACACACAAAGTGGGAGTTGTCACAGCTGCTCTTTGCTGATGACACTGTGCTCTTGGGAGATTCTGAAGAGAAGTTGCAGAGATTGGTGGATGAATTTGGTAGGGTGTGCAAAAGAAGAAAATTAAAGGTGAATACAGGAAAGAGTAAGGTTATGAGGATAAACAAAAAGATTAGGTGATGAAAGATTGAATATCAGATTGGAGGGAGAGAGTATGAGGAGGTGAATGTATCAGATATTTGGGAGTGGACGTGTCAGCGGATGGGTCTATGAAAGATGAGGTGAATCATAGAATTGATGAGGGAAAAAGAGTGAGTGGTGCCTTAGGAGTCTGTGGAGACAAAGAACTTTGTCCTTGGAGGCAAAGAGGGGGAATGCATGAGAGTATAGTTTTACAACGCTCTTATATGGGTGTGAAGCATGGGTGATGAATGTTGCAGCGAGGAGAAGGCTGGAGGCAGTGGAGATGTCATGTCTGAGGGCAATGTGTGGTGTGAATATAATGCAGAGAATTCGTAGTTTGGAAGTTAGGAGGAGGTGCGGGATTACCAAAACTGTTGTCCAGAGGGCTGAGGGAAGGGTTGTTGAGGTGGTTCGGACATGTAGTAGAGAATGGAGCGAACAGAATGACTTCAAGGTGTATCAGTCTGTTAGTGGAAGGAAGGCGGGGTAGGGGTCGGCCTAGGAAAGGTTGGAGAGAGGGGTAAAGGAGGTTTTGTGTGCGAGGGGCTTGGACTTCCAGCAGGTATGCATGAGCGTGTTTGATAGGAGTGAATGGAGACAAATGGTTTTTAATACTTGACGTGCTGTTGGAGTGTGAGCAAAGTAACATTTATGAAGGGGTTCAGGGAAACCGGCAGGCCGGACTTGAGTCCTGGAGATGGGAAGTACAGTGCCTGCACTCTGAAGGAGGGGTGTTAATGTTGCAGTTTAAAAACTGTAGTGTAAAGCACCCTTCTGGCAAGACAGTGATGGAGTGAATGATGGTGAAAGTTTTTCTTTTTCGGGCCACCCTGCCTTGGTGGGAATCGGCCAGTGTGATAATAAAATAAAAAAAAAAAAAAAAAAAAAAAAAAAAAAAAAAAAAAAAAAAAAAAAAAAAAAAAAAAATAATACCTGCCTTAACTGTAACTTAACACAAAACAAACAATATACTATTATGAAAGAGGCAACACTTCATTGTAGGGCCCCATTTATATAGCAGGTTAGGGTCCAGGCTACCGCCGGAACACTGTCATAAAGCAGAACGCCATTTTTTTTCACTTATGATATAAATTCCAGATAAATTTACTCTAAGATATATTAAGTTAGCAATAGAACTAGGCATTAAAATGCATACAATAAAAAGTAAAACACACATACAGTACACTCATTACTTACCTTAAAATATTTGCAGTCTTAATGTAGGGTGAGGTCAGGTGTGGTAGTCAGGTGTGATAGGTATGGCCACCCCACCCACACGTAATATACATTTAAAGCTCCTCAGAGCAATAAAATGCATATACATGTACAGTACACTCATTACTTACCTTAAAATATCTGTAGTCTCAATGTAGGGTGAGAAGCGAGTAAACGAGATAAAATGAATAAACGAGAGAACGAGTAAATGAGAGAACAGACGTGAAGTATGTAAACAGACGAATGCATCTGGTTATGGTTCATACGCTGTCATTTCAATGTTTGTGAATAAGTTTGTTTTTATTCAGGTACAGGTACACATAAATACAGTTACACAGATTATCATACATAGCAGCATATATGTACACTACCTAGGATAACCCAAAAGTCAGAAACAGTAACTTCTTTCCATGTTTATGAAGCTTATACCATAATACTAACACCTTACATTGTGTACAAGTTGTCTTCATGTTGGTACAGTAGAATAAATATAAGCTACACTCCCATTCTCATGTAAAACATCATTTTCAGAAGGAATGCTCTGAGTGAAGGCATACAAAAGAAATAATTTTCTACAATTTCCCCACAGTAATACTACTGTGTACACATTTTCTTTGGAGTTGAACTAGAGAAAACGTTATTCTTTCCGACACTCTGATAAGACAGCGGGAAAAACATCTCATATTTATGTTAATTTATTCTGTGAGGTGTGTTTATCATGTTTATATGTTACATAGCATGTTTATTGTATATTTTTTGGAAAAAAAAAAAAATTGATGGATTAATAGAAATGTTTATATTAATGTAATACAGTGGACCCTCAACTAACGGTGGCATTAAGTAACGGCAAATTTGTCTAATGGTGCGTTTTGGCGTAAAAAAATGTCTCTACCAAAGGCGAAAAACTCTACTAACAACGTTCGTCCAGAACATGTCTATGCGCCGGGAGCGCAGCCTGAGCAGGCCCAGCCACTCCAAGACTCAATGTGCCATTGTTTACAAGCTGTTGGGGTCGATTCCACATGTGCCTGCCATATATTTTGGATTATTCCAGTGTTTTTAGTGCTTGTAACTGCTAAATAAGCCACCATGGACCCCAAGAAAGTTTCTAGTGCCAAGCCTGTGTTAAAAAGGGTGAGAATTACGATGGAAATGAAGAAAGATAATTGAAAAATATGAGAGTGGAGTGCGTACGTCCGAGTTGGAAAGGCACTACAACAAATCACATTCAACCATCGGTACTATCTTGGCGAACAGAAAGGCAATCAAGGAAGCTGTTGTTGTGAAAGGTTCAAATATGTTTTCAAAATGGAGACCGCAAATAACTGAAGAAGTAGAGAAACTGTTATTGGTATGGATAAATGAAAAACAATTATTAGGAGATAGAGTTTCTCAGTCTATAATTTGTGAAACGGCAAGAAAGTTGCATGATGATCTCATTAAGAAAATGCCTCAAAATGGTGCTGCTGCTGATGAATTTAAGGCCAGCAAAGGCTGGTTGGAGAGATTTAAGATTCATAGTGGCATACACAGTGTGGTAAGGCATGGTGAAGCAGCCAGTTCAGACAAAAAAGTGGCTGAAAAATATGTGAAGGACTTTAAGGAATACACAGACTGAAAACTTAAAACCTGAACAAGTGTTTGTGACGAAACAGGCCTGTTTTGGAAAAAAATGCCAAACAGGACCTACATTACTCAGGAGGAAAAGGCACTCCCAGGACATAAGCCTATGAAAGATGGCCTGACATTAATGATGTGTAGTAATGCTAGTGGTGATTGCAAAGTGAAGCCTTTATTGGTGTATCACTCTGAAACTCCCAGTGTTCAAGAAAAGCAATATCGTCAAGGGTAATTTGTGTGTGCTGTGGAGATCAAACAGTAAGGCATGGGTCACTAGGGAATTTTTCTTGGACTGGTTTTATAGTGTGTTTGGCCCCACTGTGACAAAATACCTCCAGGAAAAGACATTGTCACTCAAGTGCCTCGTGGTAATGGACAATGCTCCTGCTCATCCTCATGACTTGCAAGAGGAAATTGCAGGAGAGTTTGGTTTCATTAAAGGTGAAGTTTTTCCTCCTAATACAACTCCTCTCCTCCAGCCCATGGACCAGCAGGTCATTTCAAACTTCAAAAAACTCTACACAAAAGCAGTTTCAAAAGTGCTTTGAAGTGTCCTCAGACATTCAATTGACCCTAAGAGAGTTTTGGAAAGATCACTTCAACATCCTCAGTTGTGTAAACCTTATAGGTAAGGCTTTGGAGGGAGTGACTAAGAGGACCTTGAATTCTGCTTGGAAGAAACTGTGACCAGAATGTGTAGAAGAGAGGGATTTTGAAGGGTTTGGGGCTAACCCTCAAGGAGGCTATGCCAGTAGTGGAAGCTATTGTGTCATTGGGGAAGTCCTTGGGGTTGGAGGTTTGTGGCGAGGATGTAGAAGAGTTGGTGCAGGACAACGAGGAAGAACTAACCACTGCAGACCTGCAAGAGCTTCAGGTGCAACAGCAACAGATCACATCTCAGGAATGTTCTTCAGAGCAGGATGAAGAGACGGAGGAAGATGACTTCGTCAAGGATTAGGGAAATGTGTTCAATGTTTACAAAGGTACAAGCATTTATCAATGAATTTTATCCTGTCACAGAAGTTGCAAGCCATATTGGCAACATGTTCAATGGCCCTCTTGTGTCCCATTTTAGGGAAATCCTAAGGGCACATGAGAAACAGAGCTCTCTGGACAGTTTTTTTGTGTGACAGGGGTCCAGTGACTCTCAAGCTGGTCCTAGTGGCATTAAAAAACCAAGAAGGGAGGTAACCCCACCAAAGGACTTGGTACCTCAAAGTATTTATGGAAGGGGATTCCCCTTCCAAACAATAAAATGCCTGCATCATCTTCCAGCCTACTGTCTCATCATTCATCAACAACTCCACAATAAATGTAAGTGGCATTTAATTATTGTTTATTTTGCATGTCCCTTTCGTTTTGTTGTAGGGAAATGTATATTTCATACTTTGGGGTGTCAAGAATGGATTAATTCTATTTCCATTATTTCTTATGAGGAAAATTAATTCGACCAATGGCAAATTCGACTAATGGCAAGCTCTCTGGAATGGATTAATGCCGTTGGTTGAGGGTCCACTGTGTATGATATTTAATGCGCCTCAGAGTGATTATTATTATTATGTTTCATTATTATTAACATTATTGATATGGCATCTTCAAGACTAATAAGACACTTAGTGATTTTAATGTGTACCTGCATGCCAGCACAGTATGTAAGTTTACTTAGGTACAGATACACATAAGTATAATTATCAGAGTACTATATATAAAATATGAAATAACTTTAAAACATTTGAAATTTTGCAAAGTTTCCAGACATAATGGACAGACGTGCTCACAGAGTATGTAAACAAACCAGGTGGTGCATGGTGACTATTAAAGTAAGGTGGAGAGAACTGTATAGCAAGTTTTGGTCATAATTTGAAATGTCCATATTAGCGGAACGCTGTAAAGCTGGGCCCTACTGTACTTACTTATATTTCTTAGTCATGCTCTAGCCAGGCCATTCATGCATACATTACATTGTACAGATTTCTTTCTTTCTGCAGATGTCTCAGCGTTTTACCTACTTTTTTTTACTAGTCTATTCCATGATTTGTATACTGTATAAATTATGTACTCTGAACCATGGGGGCTTTGACCATCAGAAGACTCTTCAGGTAGACCAATGCATGTCTTGAGTTTTTGAAAATGGTGAACCATTAACATTACCTATTGCAATAAATACACTACAGTAAGAAATAACATCAAACTTATGCTAACCTCATGTTGCTTGGCACTGGTTTCAAGAAAAACTGCCTTCCAGGTGTCTGCAACTTTGCGTGCTTGATCAGTACTCACTACACGTTCCATGTGAAGATCATTCTTGTTGCCAACTAAAACTACAGGAACACTGAAAATAAATATACCATATAAACTAAAAATAGTGTAACTATAAAACAACATTAAGGATATATTAAACATCAACATAAGCTTCAGTTAGCAGTAATAAAGTTTAGCTTTCTCTCCATTCCCAAACACATCCCAACAACTTGAACCCCATTAACAATCCACAGCCCACCCTCTTAATAACAGACAACATGGCAATGTTATAATGGACAAAATCTTTCATGTTTAAATATGAAGGTTACACGAGCCTGGTCACAGATCAGGCCGCGGGGGCGTTGACCCCCGGAATTCTCTCCAGGTAAACACAGTGGGTGCCCATTTTTGTATTCACACTGCAGACTATTTTATCATCTTTTATCTTATACTTACAGTTTTTCCTTTGTAACTTACCCTACCCTAACTTAGAAATGGGCTGCAAAGCTTATGTGAAAGCATGACACAGGTAGTAGGAGGATGGTTTGCAATCCATGCACCTGACCCACATTTTACTCTCTTGATTTTTAACACTTCACTGAATCTAGGTCATGTAACATCTTGGCCCACAACTATCACAAGTCTTACTTCTGTATGGATTATTCCAGATTGACCCAGCGGACAGCAACAATAATGGATAATTTCAGCTTTAACAGACTTGCTTCATTATATCCTTAAATTGTCCATAAAAATAACACTTTTTTATAATGGATAAAATCCATTAAATTTTAAATGAATTTACCCAACGACCATAAGAATAAAGAAATATTCCAGCTTTAACAGACCCTGTCTATTGTTTCCAAATATCATATGACCACAGGGTTTGCTGTTAAATCAAGTTAAATGAAGATTAAATAGAGATTTTACTGTACTTTTTGTTACTATTATCACATTACTCTTTTCTATGCTTACTTTTTATTTCCTCCACTGACACATTTATCTAAAGTAGCCACTAAAACTGCCAGATCCTCAGATCAAGAAAAACAATGGATGAGAAAAGCCAAAGACAAAGAAAAAAAGATTACAAAGCTATAACTATTATGGAAGAAACTAATAAGAGCAGATACAATAGAATAAAACAGAAGCAGGAAAATGTCAAACAAGGAAGAGCATATTTTTTCTAGAATAATTGGAAAGTGATGAATTCAGAACATCAAGTAGAGGCTGCCTGCAGCACCACTACCTCATCCCACATCACCACTCACTCTAAGCCAAGATGTACACAATGCAAGCCTATATTTGGCAGGTGATAATACATACATTGCATTCTTTATTCCTTAAAATAGTATCTTCTAAATATTTTACTCCAAAATATATTCAGGTGGAGCCAGTCTCCCTTTAAATACATGAATGAATGAGGTTTAATAAGAAAATAAGCATAATTTTACACATTTATTAAGCAAGGTATACCTGTATTATATTTGAGAAAGGATACTGGAAGGTGTTTGCCATTAAAAAAATAAAATTCACACTGAAAGATAAACCATATAAAAAAACATTTAGAAAAGCTAAATTTATTATTTAGAAAAAATATCTTAATACTATCCAATCAATTATGAAGTGCAACAAAGTCTCAAAGTTAAAATAGTGCAGTGTGGCAACATTCAACAGTACTACATACTTTAATTCAACAGCAAACATTTGAATAGCTTAACAGATGTACAATATAATGAATAAAATTATGTATGCAGCAATGTACATACTGGATGAATACTTCAAATTATCACAAAAATAAACATACCACAAACAGCCACATTTTAACCCCATGGAACATTACCATTTTACTTCCCTAAGTGCACAAACAGCCACATTTTAACCCCATGGAACATTACCATTTTACTTCCCTAAGTGCACAAACAGCCACATTTTAACCCCATGGAACATTACCATTTTACTTCCCTAAGTGCACAAACAGCCACATTTTAACCCCATGGAACATTACCATTTCACTTCCCTATGTGCACAAACAGCCACATTTTGGCCCCATGGTACACTACCATTTCCCTTCCTTGAGTATACAATGCATATTTACAAAAGGCTCTAGAGCCTAGTCTATTAGGAGATGGACAGAGATGGCCTAATCACCTGTAATGACAGCTGATTACTCTTATCCAATACCCTACATAAACACATTCGTTCAATCAGGCAAACTGAAGTACAGTGGTACCCAGAGTTTCAAACTTATTTCATTCCAGAATGTTGTTCAAGTGCCATTATCGAACAAATTTGTTCCCATAAGGAATAATGTAAATTAGATTAGTCCGTTTCAGACCCCCAAAAATACACTTACAAATGCACTTACACAAATACACTTACATAATTGTTCGAGTTGGGAGCAGTTCAAAACTCGGGGTACCACTGTATTTTGCACAAGAGTGAAATCCAATTTTCAGTCTGCTTCCTGAGCTGGTTACTCAAAATAACACTACTCTTTCCCTTTATTATTATCTAAATTGGACAGCAAAGACAAAAGAATTCCCAAAACCTTATTTTGAGTAAAACAATAAAAAGGGGCATACTCAGAACTCACGTGACTTTGCCCATCATGTCAAGAATTTTATCATAAATGACTTGTGCCACCTCAAATGACTTTTCTGAAGTGATGGAGTAGACCAGAACATAACCATGAATGTCCATAGAGTACTGTGCTGGGAAGATGCTGTACTCATCTTGACCAGCTGTGTCTACTAGCTCTAAGCCATATTCTTGACCTCTAACCTGTAAAAATGAGACATAAATATAAGAACTAGACATGGCATATGGTACAGAATACACAAAATGGAAATTATGGTTACAATATTATGCTAATGTACAGAACTAAGTGTCAACAGCCAAAGGGCTTGCAATTTATGAGTAATTACACTGTCCCTTAAATTTCTTCAAAAGGGAGCTTGCCTATACTGGGATGTGAGCACTGAGCACTAACTATGACTGATCAAGCCATTAGCCAAGAAGCCTGGTCAGCTGGGATGAAAGGGGCAGCAAATCCTGGATGCTCTCTAAGGTTGTAATTTTTTTTTGTTTAGTTACCAAATCAACAGTATCTACATTCTCTTCCTATCAGCCTACTTCAACAGCTCTTTAATGCTAATATTTAGTATTTTGCTAACTATATAAGGGAGGAATTAACAGCTATTTTACTGGAAGCTATTTTGATTGCTCGAAGTGCACTATGTTTCTGTAATTAAGTTATGCAGTCTGAATTATAAAAATTAATTACTTATTACAACTATTAATTATTATTAACTATTATTATTAATGAATACATGCAGAAACAATCATGTCATGATCAACGTTACAGTTTCTGTACGGAGCTTGGAGGCATCTGTTGTCTTTATCTCCCCTAAATAATATTAGTTAAGAAAATAGCTAAACATATGAAGATTATTCAAGGCTGAATCTCACAAAAAAAAAAAAAAAAGTAAAGCCTTACCTATTTAATGTCAAGGAAAAAGCAATTTCAACAATCAAGAGCACTTACTGGTAAAATAGCATCACTGTTAAGTCATTCCTTGAAATTAGCCAGCAGAGCATACCAGTGTGCACTGCTAATAATTAGCTTTAATTCCTTTGTTTCCCCTTTTTTTGTTTAACACACTGGCTGACTCCTACCGAGGTAGGGTGACCCGAAAAAGAAGAAACATTCACCATCACTCATTCCATCACTGTCTTGCCAGAGGCACACCAATACTACAGTTCAGATGCCCATCCAAACTGCAATATCCCCACCCTTCCATTGGATTGCAGGAACTGTACTTCCCACCTCCAGGACTCAAGTCCAGCTAACTGGTTTCCTTGAATTCCTTCATAAATGTTGCCTTGCCCACACTCCAACAGCGCATAAAGTCATAAAAAACACTTCCACTCATTCCTATCATGCTCACACATGCCTATTGGATGTCCAAGCCCTTTGCATATAAAATCATAAAAAAAAAAAAGGCAGATCTAAATAACTTGCCACCATTCATATATGAAAAAGCTGTGAATGTGCTGTCACCCAGTATTGCAACACTGTTTAACAAATATGTCAAGTCCTCAACCTTCCCATCCAAACTCAAAACAGCAAGGGTTACCCCGATTCTCAAAAGAGGTGACCCAAATGATCTGAACAACTACAGACCTGTATCAAACTTGCCCTTACTTTCTAAAATGTTAAAAAAAAATACATAATACACTAACAACTTTACTCCTACCTTATATCCAACAACATACTTAACCCTTGCCAGTTTGGGTTTAGACTAAAAAAAAAGTATGAATGATGTTTTTATACAAATGCTTGATTATATACAGCCCTCAATAAAAATGAATATCCATTGAGGCTCTTCATTGACCTATGGAAAGCATCTGATACAGTGGACCACAATCTCCTGCACCTAAAACTAAATTATTATGGCATCAGAGGACATTCCCTCGATTACCTAAAATCTTATCTTAACAACAGACACCAGTATGTATAAGCAAATGGATTCAAATCCTCTGTCCAGCCTGTATTGTTGGAGTGCCCCAAGGTAGTGTCCTAGACCCACTCCTCTTTCTCATCTACATCAATGATCTCCCCAATGCATCTCAACTCCTTAAACAGTTCTATTCACAGACGACACTACTTACGTCTACTCCCATTTAACCCTAGCTATAGTTAGACACTGTAAACAACTACAGTAGTTGCAAAAAATACCTACTTGGATGATGACCAACAAACTCACTCTAAACAGACAAAACATACTTCATGCTGTTTGGAAACAGTCTTAAATATCCAACTTAATATATCAATAAGTAGTTCCCTCATTGTGAAAGTTTAGACACATATGCAACATCTAGATATCTTTATTGTAGACGTTTTGCCATCCAGTGGCTTTATCAATACAGATTCTAGGACATAAAAATTAGAAGAAAGTAGAACTATATACAAAAGATGAGGTAATCAGTCCCTCAGCCTTGGAGTTAGTGTTCACAGCATCATGGTGGAGGAGAATCTGGAGCAAAGGCAAGAAGACTGGCGGTTATATAGGCCACAATTTGTCAAACACTGCAACATCACGGAATCTTGGTTCAGAGGACATCTACAAGACCTTCTTCACGGCTGCGACAACTAACCCATCCCTTTGGGTAGGACCTACTTCCACTGGGGAATCCCGCCTACCAGTGACTATGCCCTCGTCTGCTACACGTCCTTATCCACTGACGCCTATATTGTATAACTGCCAGTCTTCTTGCCTTTGCTCCAGATTCTCCTCCACCACGATGCTGTGAACACTAACTCCAAGGCTGAGGGACTGATTACCTCATCTTTTGTATATAGTTCTACTTTCTTCTAATTATGTCCTAGAATCTGTATTGATAAAGCCACTGGATGGCGAAACGTCTACAATAAAGATATCCAGATGTTGCATATGTGTCTAAACTTTCATGTTGTCGGTACATTATACCTTTCTTGCACAGTTCCCTCATTACAAGACAAATTGAGGGTAAATTTCTAGGTCTTCACCTTGACTAATCTTAAATTTCATTACCACATCCAGCATATATCCAAGAAAATTTCCAAATCAGTAGGTATCCTTTCCAAGATACGGTACTATGTACCCCAAATGACACTCCTTACCCTATACCACTCTTTATATATCCCTGCCTCACCTATGGTATTTGTGCCTGGGGATCAACCACAGCCAACCACCTTAAACCTTTAATAACCCCAAAAATAAAGCTGCTGTGTGAATGATTACCAGCTCCTGTGCCAGACAGCACACCCCACCACTTTTCCAAAGCCTGAATGTACTAAATATACTAGGCATACACTCATATTATTGCACCTACTACATACAGAACATTAAACTCCAATATAAACCCTCCACTTATACTTCTCTTTCATAGCTACAACAGAATGCACAGTCACAATACAAGGCACAAAGCACTCTTTGACATACCTCGTGTCAGTCTGACACTGCAAAAATGCAATGCACATAAAGGGCCTGAAGATCTGGAATTCACTACCTGAGCCAGTAAAGAATCCCCTGACTACATACAAATTTAGGGCTATGCTTAAGAATAAATCTCTCAATACAAACCCAAAACCAACCAAAACTTCTAATCAGTTTAAAGCAATTCTCCCAAATATTATATGATTTTTAGTCCATTAAAACATCTGCCAATCCATAAAATATTGCTGTTTGAACTATTAATTGTAATATTTTTTTATTACGTGCAACTTCAAAATTATTATTCCATAAACCTCCACCTCGACTACCTCGCATTAGTATTAAGGCAAAATAAAGATTTATTAAAAGGTTAACCATTCTAAATCTTGTCTAAACTTAAGTAGTTATTATGTACAAGGATTAGTCTGCCCAAAATGCCCCAGCATGATAGTGGCTTTCTTTGTACTTAACAACTCAAAATTGTAATTACACACTGTAGCCTTTGCAAAGAAATAAAATCTTTACTCTTTATTCTTTTAACTGCTTCTCCAACCTTTTGTAGTGTGACCCCTACCCCTACTTACCCTTCACTACACTCCAATTTATACACTAGGTCATTCTACTTTGCTACAACTTCTGTATATGTCCAACCCTCCTCAACAACTCATCTGTAGCCCTCTGGATAATATTTTTTATAATTCTGAACCTCCTATCTCCTAATCTTCAAGCATCAAATCTTCTGCATAATATTCACACCACACACATTGCTCTCAGAATTTTATACAAAAAAAATAATCAAAGTTTGGAAATTAGGTTTGGGGGTTACTAAAAGTATTATCCAGAAGACTGAGGAGTAACTTAAGATGGTTTGGACATTTAAAGAGGATGGGGCAAAATAGAATGACTTGGAATGTGCATAAATCTGCAGTGGAGGGAGGTATAGAAGGTAGACAAGGTTGGAGAGAGGAGCATGTAAATGAGGTTTTGTATGAGGACTTGGACATCCAACAAAATATGTAGAATATAACAAAGGCTGAAGAAAGGGCATAAAGAAATGCCTTACCCCAACACACCATAAATGACCATAGTAAACAGATTAGTATTTTGACAAGGAATACACAAGTGGAAAAAGTACTTCATGTATAAGCATATTACCATTCCTTGTATATGGTATACCCATGTCTCAGGGACAGGAAGCTAATGGCTTATCGATGTAACCAAATCAAGCATTTGCCCATTTTCAGGATGCGACCCACAACAGTCGACTAACACCCAGGTACCTATTTACTGCTAGGTGAACGGGATCAGCGGGTGTACGGAGACTTGCCCATACATCTTGCCCTGTCTAGGATTCGAATCCGAAACCTTTTGGTTGTGAGTCGATTGCGCTGACCACTTCACTACAGGTCACAGTGTCTTAAGAGTATCTGCCGTAAGTAATAGCACACAAGAAAACAAGTTAATAACAGGTTTTAAATTAACTACCAAGAGGCAATCACTGAAGTGTCCTGTTTCCATTTATGATGTGTCAAAAGATGTTTTTAAATCTAAAGTGATTCACTAAAGACAGAGGTTCTCATAACTGCAACAAGAGCAACATTCATCTCAAAATACTGTAATCTAATACATCACAGAACACAATGTAAGATCAAGTATGCATTTTCTAAATTTAAAATAAATTGGATAAACCATAAAAAGAAAACTTCATGAAAGAATTAATATTAACACTACACTGCATCATCAAACTGATGAAATACAGTACATTGCCCGACAAAAAATATACCTCGCGCTTTAACCGTTTGAGAG